AAAGAAAACATGGATTACATCTAGCATTTTTGTAACATTTTGTCACTAGAAGCTTTGATGGATAATTCCTTGCTTACTTTCATATCACCAGTGTTTTTGTTTACACAAATATCACATTGTGAAACCTTTAAATATATTGCAGCCCCGTAGAGTAAAATTATGCAAACAAGGAGTAGATTACCAATTGTTTTGTTTTTATTTTTTTACATGAACAATGCAAAAAAAACACATTTGCTTATGAATGAGTCAAGTGATCAGGTTTGTTTTTGTTATATGAAAAGAGCACAGTGATCAGGCACAATAATCTATCACATCACTCTAATTTCTCTTTTTCAGCTGAATTGATTTGACTGACCACGACTTATTTTTGTTAGCAAGTAGTAATTTTTCAAGGGCACTACATATTTGATTTCGAAGAGAAAGTCCAAAGCAACAATACATTTAGTATCACATTAAGCATTACAGCAGTCCTTGAGTTTGACCAGCAATTGCTTTCACAATATCAGACACACTGAGCATGATAAGTAAGGTGCTACTTCTTATTTACACTGAAAGTGCTAATCAAGTTTGACAAAATCAGTCTAAGTTATTCTTTTGTGGCTTTTTTATTGATACCGTCTGATGAGAGAAGATATGGAAATTACACCTTTATTTTTTTCATCTATCAAAAGACTTATGTCTGCAGTACTGTCTGAATAACAGAACTTCATAATGGTTGTGTTACAGTTCTCATCTAATTTTGATTATAAGTTCCTTTAAAGTGTGTTTCTAAACAGACAATGTAGCAAGGTCTTGAATCCTTGCTCATTTGTCAACCTATTTATATATCTGAAGTGAAACACCCAAAGTCTGAAGGAAATGTCAGGAGGGGATTGTGGGGGCAGCAACGCTTTCTCTTGGGCCTACTTAAGGCTTTTCATCTAAGGTAGCCAACACCATTATTGGACTAATATGGATGCTTTTTAGTGCCCCGTGCTTAGATGTGTATGGCTGACCGAGACAATGTTGATGTGGTTTTTTCCTAATGAACGTGTCTTTTATGGGATGTTAAATTTCATATAAGTTATAACTTTAGTTTTAAAGAAAATTTCCGGTCTTCCAGCTTGTCATTACATGTAGTTTTGCCTGTAGGTGAGGCTATGGACCATTAAACTTTCCCCACATCCACTAATAAGGCTTGGTGCCACATCAAGATAACAGTTAGCCTTTGACTCTGTTGTTGATAGTTTAAACTGTATACAGTAGGTGTATCAGAATGTTTGACTAGTGTTGTCAATCCATTTGGTCATTATAAATTGGCACAAACCTAATTGGCTACAAATATTATGTGTTATGGCATGGTAAGGTGTTCCTACACCCATTTAATTTTTATGCTGCCTGGCACATTTATCAGGGGATTGCACTGTTACCATTAGCTGCATTATATTACAACATCATCTTTTATCAATAATTGCAAGTGTTTAGATTAGGCAGAGGTAATGTTTTTCTACTGCATTTAGCTTGTGATTTTTTTGTACTGTGCCACATGTTAGTATAAATCAGAATAGAACATAAAAAAATCCATTTTTTGTCCCACAATGGGGAAAATATGAAAAAATGTTGCAGAAACCTGAAAAAGAAAAAATGCAACATTATTAATAGGTTTTGATAGTTATATGCAGTGCTTATTGTATGTGGTAGATACTGTACACTTGTGAAGTAGAAGCAAAATAATTATTCAATTTTTTTGTAAACATAAAAATCTACAAAGTATTCATGCTGTGTTTTTCTATGCAGTATTTGCACTGCTGGTTCAGCTTTCCACATCTATCAGCTAAAATATATTGACATTCTTATTTGTAAACCAGCCATAACTCCTTAAAATCGATCTTTTGTATGTTTATACTGAAAAATATCTTTTATTTGACGCTTTATGACTGCAACATAATTTGATGCGCAGACTAAAACCTCAGTAGTACAGCTCTAATGCTTCTTTATGCCTGTAGCCTATATTCCCTGAACGTACTTTGGTCTGGAAGTTCCGAACCGCTGTTCTTTGGATGTGACATCACACACACTTCCATGTTAAATGAGTCTGGCATTGCAAACAATCAAAATGTTATGTTTAAGATGGACATTGCGGGTACTCAGAAGAGTATCCGCAATGTCCATCTTAAACATAACACCTGGCATCCAGCTAAAAGTCAGATACCAATGGCAACTCCATATAAGGTGAAAAACGTTTAAAAAATTTCAAGTGTTTTGTAGATGATTAATTGGTATGAGGCTCAAAAAGAAATGTAATATCCTTGAGATTGCATTTATCTCTTTTGCCGATCTTTACAATTTTGAACTTTCCTGGGATGCTCATCAAAGAGGACTTCAAAAGATAACAATGATCTCAGCTTTTAAAATGGCCTTTGATATTGTGTGATAAAGCTTAGAATAACACATGCTTAAATTTTATTAAAAGCAGTTTTCAAGAAACCAGTGTACTGTGAATTTAGTGTATTCATAGATAAAGAAAAAATAGGCTATTTTAAATAGTAAAGTAAATTATCCTATATATAAATCTGTAGGTACCTCAATAAATGAAAAACGTTTCTTAACAACCCCACTTAACAAAAAAAAAGAATTAGCTTGCACAGCAAGCAACAGTATGCTGATGTGGACAGAAAAAAAAGATGTTCATGTTTTTTGTTTTACCAAACTTAAGTACTGACATCTGAGTTTTGTAGAACAATTAATAAAAATAAAAGTGCATTTTAATAAGCTTACATTCTAAAAGTGTTACAAAAAAATCTCATACTTTCCAACAGCTTAGATTTAGCCTTTCAAGTGTTTTGTTTCAGCTTGGAAGCTATTATTCATTTAGTTTTTTTTTTTGTTTTTTTTTTCTTAATGCAGCATTTTATAGTCAGTTGATACAGCCAAGTCATTCACCTTATACAGTAAAAGCTAGATATTTTATAAACCATACTTTTCCTTACTAGGACATGACCTTAAACATTGTAACATCAAAAGAAACACATTGCACATTTCTACAAGCATAATTTGGGGAAAAAGGGTGAGTTATATAACTTTTTTTAGTCATGTTTTTATTAATTCTGAGATGCTTTTTTAAAGAAATGACCAATGTGAGCTTGATGTGCTGGTCTCTCTATATTTATATATATATATATATATATATATATATATATATATATATATATATATATATATACAATATAGACCAGCATTGTTTAGCCGCCATGAATTCCCTCCCACGCTTAGGATGGCTCCTGCAACACCAGACGCTGTAGTCCTTCTGTCTACCCATTACCTGTGAGCTTCATCACCAGTCCTATTGAGGCCTACCTCGTTAGCTTCAGGAGCTTCAGATGCCATACGGAGGTTGCTGTGTTCCTTTTGAACAGTTGAATTCATCTTTTACTAATGCTCAAATCACTGGTTAGAATCAGTGTTATTGGACATGGCAACTGGCGAAAAAAAAAATGGATGGAATGAGAGCTGGCAAGCACAAGTTTTCCACTTAATGGCCAGGAAGAGTTGAACCTGTTCCTATCACCTTTTAAATTATGGTCCAACTAATAGTAAAGATCTTTTATATCAGTTAATCTTTGTTCTGAGGAAGATAAGGCATTTACATACATTTATGAATTTGCAAGCGCAGAGATGATGGAACTGAGCGTGACAACAGTGTGTTGAGAAGAGTTTTTCAGAGTTGAGCACGCCCAAGACCGGTTTTGAACGCGTGCGTTTTGTCTCACTGCACGCTCGGGTTGGTTCCTGGGCGCTCAAACCGAAGGCACAAATATCGCTCCATATTTCCAATGGCCAGGAAAGGCTTAGCATGTAAAAGATGTGTGAGGCTGAGGGCAGCTGCATTGCTGTAGGGTCTGTGAGACTGTCATAGGAAGAGTTGCTTTTATCCTGTCTTTGGTGCTTCTCGTTTCAGGCCTTTCCAGCAAAACTAAGAGAGAAAGATGCAGACAGCCTGGTACTGGCTACCTGTGTTCATCTGAAAGTAGAACAGTAGGCCTTACTTAATTTTGTATAAAAATTGAAGGATGTGCCCACCTGCCAAAGAGACACATGCAGGTAATCTCCCCGATGTGACTTGACAAGTCATGGGGAAGAGAGGAAGATGTGATGGGGTCCTAGGCTTCTATAGAGAGTCCACAGGGGGTTCAGGATGTTCCTTTGATGCTCCTCTTCTGGCAGTGAAGCAGCAGAGTGGTCCAAGCTCTTAATCTAGAAACCAGTTGTGCATCCAGATCCAAACTATGCTAGGTATTCCATCCATGTAAATATTTATCGCATGGCTGTAAGGCACAACATGGCTAAATATAGCACTTGCTCTGTATATTGCTGATAAGCAGAGCACATGTGCCTGACACTAGAAATACAGTATTCTATTAAATACTGCATACATCCACGCAGTCACTTGTGATTGCAATATTCTACATTGGGATTTGGTCAATAGTGGCATAATACTACCATGAAAAGAAAGGGTTGTCTGGATTGATGAATCGTGTTTTTGTGTCATATTGATTGTTGGGTGCATGTACGTTGCTTAACAGGCAACACTTGGCAAAAGGAGGCAGTTTGGGAAGAATAGAAGCTGGCAGAGGAGATGTGATGCTTTGGGCAATGGTTTGCTCAAAAACTGTCAGTTCTCCAATCTGGATGTTGAACTGAAATGTTCCACCTACGAAAGTATTGTTGAAGCCCACTTCCACTAGTATCTGGGAAAATAAATCACTAAAATAGAAACAAAGTACAAATATTTTGAGAGCATATAAAAAAAAAAGTATTGCCTATGACATTTTACACTTTACCATTTTGGACCATTCTTGCTAACCTATTTATGTCTATTTATGAGAATGTTCAATTTCGCATGATAATCTTGCATTAATGTTTTTATTTTGTTTTTTGCTTTTTTCCCCCCACAATCTAATCTTGTTCTTTGATTTTTTTAATAAAATACCACTCTGTTTGTTCTCTTTCTTTTATTTAAGAAACTTAGGTTGCCATGAGTGAGGAGGAGGAGGGCCCTGGTGTTGCAACATCAACGACACAGTCAGCAGCAACAACCTCCAAGGTAACAACAACAATAGCCAAAAGCAGGGATGCTGTTGTTTCATCCTCGTCCCCCTGCTGGTCCTCTCCTTGTTACCACCTGTATCCTGAGGAAAAAAAGGCAGAAAAGGAGGAGAAAGGGATCATTAAGGAAGAGAGGATCAAGGAAGAAGAAAAGGAGCTGAAGGAAGTGGAGGAGCGTGAAGGTGATGATGAAGAGGAGGATGATGATGACAGCAGCAGCGATACCAGTGTGTTAGTTGTGCCCCATCCTGAGCTGGTGCCTGTGGTCTTCTTCTGTCTGAAACAGACAACCTGCCCCCGCAGCTTGTGCATCCGTATGGTCTGCAGTCCATATCCTTTAAGCTGAATTCCATGAGTAACGATTGTGTGGGATGTCTGTAAAAGTCCTGTCTTTCAATATCCATATTCATGATAATTCAATCTTTTAATACTTATCTACTTCTCTGTAAGGAGAAGCATTATTTTGTTAGTTCGTGTTTATGATTTTTTTCCTCAACAGATAAGTTCAAGTCAGCTTCATATTCTTTTTTAATTTGTTTCAAAATTTAGCCATAAGCCTCATATATATCTTTATAAACTTTTATCGGTGGACCAACACAACTAAGAATATAAGTGTGAGGCTAAATGAAAGGAAAAGAAGATAAATTGATTTAGATCTGTTAAGTAACTTTGATAATGATAACTTCAAGACAACTCCTTTATTAGGAAACCAGCATCATGCCTTGGTCTGGTATATTAAAAACAGCATGCTAAATAGTTCAGCTAGCTTTAAACTGAAGAAGATATTTGAAAAGGAAGCAAAACATTTTTATTTATTTATTTTTTTTTTTTTGGTGCTGTTTGCCATTTTCTGGATTCCTGAAGGTCTTTACCAGTATATAAAAAGAAAATCTTAAAAACTTTAAGGGGCATGAACACTTTTGGAAGTCACTGTAATAATCAAAATTTTCATAACTTTTGCAAGTATTGTATGAAAAACAACTTAAGTATTCAGATTAATTATCATTTAAGATGATGTTTGCAAATTGTTACATCATTTTAGACTTTGGAAGGTTTTTCTTCCAGCCTTGTAGTTACGGTACACACTATCCGTCTATGGAAATACTTTATTGTTCTTGTCGTCTTTGATAGCAAAGACAAGAACACATATTTCATGTTGTTTCGTTTTGTTTGTTTTTTTCCCCTTATAAACAGGCTCATATCATAGCTCTGCCTGTGAAAGTAAGCACATGTGTGTCAGATTACAATACATGTAGAACACAGTGTTGTGCTGCCCCCTCAGATAAGCACAGAGTGCCTAATAAGAGTCTTAAGAGCAACATTTACAGTGCAATGATGTGTGACTCACAGTTAGAGCTAATGTATGGGCTATCAGTAACAGCACAGTGAAGTGAAGAATGAGAGAGGGAAAGATATAACCAACTGGTTGAGACTCACTGAAGCGGGATGAGACATTTGAAGAAGGAAAACTGCAGAGATGGGGAAAAAAGGAGTGTGAGGCCATAAAGGTGAGGGGCATAAGAAGACAGACAGTAAGAAACAGACAGATGAGGGACACAAAGGCTTTCTATTTTTTTCCAATCCATATGAGTTTGTTTCTTTCTGAAAGCCACAATTTCTTTGTGAGAATTAAACAAAATATATAATTTTACTTACAAAAGTGCCTAAAGACAGCAAACCCTAAGGCATGATGTTCATACCACTGTGTTGCACTATAGACACATTGTTTTGTTTCTGTTCTGTTTGGGATTTTTAGTGGTCCTCACTTCTCCTTTAGTGCCATTCACCCTTGGAGTTGTGGCTCATAACTGTTTTCTTGTTTTCAAATTGGAAGGTTTTATTTCTTTTTCATTTTTTTTTGTAACCTTTTGTTGCATTTCTGCTTCTGCAAACTATAGATGTTGCGTCAGTGAGTCATAGTTATTTCCATCTAATAAATTGCAAACAACTGTTAATGTAAAATTACATATGTGCATAATTAGAATGAAATACAATACAATATAATAATTGTGGCACTTTTATTAATGATTCTTGCAAAAATGAGATTTGACAAAGAAACCATCTGACCAGTGGTCTACCTCTATTTCTTTAATTAAACAGCTCAACTGAAGATCTTACAAGAAATAAATGTGCTCTTTATCACTCTAAGAGTGTATTCGAAGCCATTTAGGTTAAACAAATTTTTGTGTAATCTCAGTACCAAAGCAATGTCTGGATAGATCACTTAAACACTTTAATTTCACAGTGAATCCTTTGGTACACACTTAATCATACAATTGATTGCCTAATTAGTGTAGGATTTGTTAACAGCCTTAGTCTGAGCAAGGTAGAACTAATATCAGAATTAGCCGTATTTAACAAGTTTGTGCTTTTTTAATTGTATTTTCACTTAGCAGAGTCCTTAAATGTCTTTTGATTCAGTAAATCTGTTCCTATGCAGAGTGAGAACAGTCTGCAGCACAGCACATGTATTGCATGTCAATCTTACCACAATGAATAGGTGGAAATATGCATTGAAGAAAGCTTGTGTGAGTGTGAAAGGCTTGTGGTAAAAAGTATGTGTCTATCTTACTTTCCCAACATAAAAGGGCTAATATTGACAGGGCCCACTTTCTTGCCTTGTGCGATCAGATTCAGCAGTGTGCAGAATTGATCTCTTTGTGAGAAAATACACTCGGAGGACTTCTGTGCATGTATGTTTTGAGTCACACCAACTTTTATTCATTATTGAAAAGTGTAATACTGTATAGTGCTTTGAAAAATTCTGTTGTTTATTTTCAGTTTATAAAACAAGAAAAACACTGGATAAAATCATCCCTAAAGTGAGATTTTTATTTGATTAAATTGAGCTTATTTCTGTTAGAATATCCTTAATATAATTTTTACTCTTTATTTTAACCTCAGATTAGAGCCGAAACAATTAATTGGATTAGCTGATTATTGAAAACAATTGTCAACTAATATAGTAATTGATTAATCGTTACCTGGAGTATAGAGACTGTAAAATATGCCTTTAGCTGACGGAGCAGTTTTTATATCAA